TTTTAATTTCTCTTTGATATTTGGGCTGATTGGGACCTGATGAATGTAAAAACAAAGAATTACCATTTTTTTACCTGATTTTTGTTTCTAAGGAAAATCAGAGCCACATATGAGGACATTTGTTTAAAATGTTGATAGGACAGTAGCAGCATAATGTCCTCGTCAGTGGATATCAGGCCCATGTAGAGCAAAATTGAGTATTTTGGTCTAAATAACCCAAAATGTGACGTCCACATATGTGGACGCAGGTCCTAGGAGGTTAAGAATAGTTGCCTGGACTTTACATCCAGTATCACTTATGTTTCCTGCTAATATGAGCTGAGACTCACTCTTGTTTTTGGAAATCTCCGCTAACAGAAAGCTTCTCAGCCATGGTGGTGCATGGTGGGCTCCTGCAGCTCAGCGTGTCCTCTTGCCGTGCACAGCCAGGTGTGAGCTATGCAGAGTTTGATGAAAAGTGCAGCGAGTAAAGGAAATGCAGCTCTTCTCATAAGAAGGTCTTTGCTCTCGTGTGTGCCGTCATCTCTGAACTACCAGCAGCTTTAAAGGTTATGGATGAAATGGAGCAAAGCTGGATTTACTCAGACACAGAGTTTGGACGCCTCTCAGCATACATGTCACTGCATTGTTGAACACACACATGCTGGTCCTGTGATAACCATTATCTCTGCTCCTTGAAGACACAGAAATCCACCATTAAAGGACATTTCAGAGATGAAGGTCGTATCGAGTCTGGCAGTAATCTGGTGACTGTCCAGCAGAGATGCTAATGGCCAATTCTGCATCATTGAATGTTAAAAGGATCTTATCGTTTGTTAATCACAGCTGTGTGTTCCTGTTAGATGAGCCAGAACTTTCTATTTCCTCCCTTTGGCTCTAAAGTCCAAGGACGCAGTGAAATTACAGGTGAAACGCGTTTGCTGGAAAATAGGCCATAATTATTACTGTGGAGCTTTGGCTACATATTTACCGCCACACCTCATCCAGACACAGATCCACTTCCTGTGGGGATTAGTTATATCATCCTGTGTGTCTTCCCTCCTCTCCTCCTCCTCTCTGTCCATCTTTTCTAAATCTCTGTGCTGGATATAGCCTGCATCCTAAACGTGCCTCCCTCCTCCTCCTCTTCCTCTCCTCTGCATGTGTTGGACTGCGTCATCGTAGGCGTTCGGCGGTCAGGCTCCCTGCATTCACTCCTTCATCTTTTTACGTGCGATAATAGTACACAAGCCTCAGAAGTCACGGTGTAGGAAGAGCCGATCAATGAGTCTTTATTCAGCTGGTGTGTGTGTGTGTGTGTGTGTGTGTGTGTGTGTGTGTGTGTGTGTGTGTGTG